AAATCAATCTTTCTTGTGACAAAAAATGTCATTGCCAGTTAGAGATCGATATAGTGCTACCTCCTTTGGGTTCGATTCTTTAGATCCATCTGTTTCTTGAATATTTGATCGGGAAGATATTTTTTGCTTCTTAATTTGACCATAGAAATCCTTAAGATTCTTAATTATATCTTTGATTTATCGTCCTGACATAATATCTAATCGTCATTTCCAAATTTATAGATGCCCCTAAAGAATTGAAATTATTTTCCTAGAAATTTCATCTCGCTTACCGAGAACACAAATTTCTATCTTAATTTTTCAATGAAATGTTGAATTTCCTCCTCCTGTCCGTAATGTAGGATGTCTTCGATATGAATCAGTGCAAAAAAATCCTTCCTGAAAGAAAATAAGATTTGGAGATCCTTATGGTTTGTTTTGTCTTTGATTGGCAGATCAAGACAAGGAGGTCCAAGAATGAGAAATAACAAAAATAATGCCTTAGAAGAAGACCACTTATTACAAGAGAATTTGCCAATACCAAAAAGGGATAATATACATTCGCCTACTTCAAACACTTATGCACTTCTTGACTTTTACCAATGATGATCTTGATGGACAAAATATTAGAATTTAATAAAAATTTCACTAATGGAAATTATTGATATTAAAGAATTTTTCTACAAATATATCAGAGAAAGAATTGCAAGGATTGATAAATTTAGGGAGATTTCGAAAATTGAAGAATTTATCAGATCAATGACAGGGAGCTCATTTCCTCGACCTTGTCTGCAATTAATTATTCCTATTGATCATTATCCTTGCATTGAATTCAAAGGTTTATTGTTCCATCATTCATCTGGAATCTCTGTCTTCTCGTTGTCCTCCTGGAAATTCTTTTTCAAGAATATAGAAAACATCTTCATTAGTTATTTCATCCAAATCTATATTTCAATATCCTACCATTATATTTCTTTAATCGTTCTTGAATCAATTGAATTCGTCAAAGAATTTGACGGCCTTTCTTCCATTCTGTTTCTTTTCGGACTTGGTTCTGGCGTGATTGTATTTTCCGGTGGCGGTGTTTTCAAAAGTTTCTCCCATGGCAAAGCCTCAACGATTATATTTTCTATCTTTTCCTCTGATTTGTCTTCTCGGGCGATTTCTAGCGTTCTTGATTGTCCAATTTGCGGATTGATATGAACAGGAATTGATGGCATTGATATTCTTGGAGCTACACGAAATTCTCTACCAAATTCTTCTACAATTTCCCAACATTTTTCATAATATCCTAATAATTTTCTTAATTTTCCATTTCTCCCGCATCTAAATTACGATATCTGTAGGTCACAATTTCCAACGATAGCATTAGCATTGGTCCATTCCTCATTATGTGGATTCCAATTGCCCTTTTTGTAGGCACTCTGCGTCTTCTAAAATTGGTCTAAATATCTTATGATATTGAGGAATATCTCATGTAATAAGCAAGAAATATCGTCCAAGGTCTATACATTCTTCCCACATTTCTTGTAAATATAATTCTTTCGCCATCTGATATAATCCAAATATCTTGACTATCGGTCTTGCCCACGAAGATAACCATATTATATTTTGGATATCCTTTCATTGGGTTAAGAGTTTGTGACCTCATATAAACATGGATTGAATATCCGAAAGGTATCATGCTTCCCGTGGATTTTTTGTGTGAACCAATTCAAAGGTTGTTATTCCATGATAGGTTGGATACCGGTTTATGTTCCAGCAAGAGTGTTTGGTTGCCCATGACCATGGTGGGTAATTGCTATTCAATCTCCTTTGAATTCTTGACATCAAATCTTCCATGATAATACATATCATCCCTCATGCCCATTGTATTGCAGCGAATTTTCAATTCTATGACGAATATGAGAAATGAGAATTCTTGTCCTCAATCTAAGCGCATGTTTATTATTCAATCAGATTCTCTAAGTTTGTCTGATGGTTGATTCATTATCTCCATAGAAAATTATTTCATGATAATAACGATATTGATCAGATTTCATCATGTTTTTTTGCAAAATTAAATAGAATTCTATTATTGGAATTATTTTTAATCATCATATTATTGGTGTCATTTCCTTCAATCCTTTCTTTCCACCAGATTTGCCTTTTCCTTCTATTTCCTCTCTTTCTTCTTCAATCAATATTTCTTCAATTCTTTTGGATCTCTTCTATCGATAAGACCTATCTTGATGAAACAAAGATCAAAATTGATGACCGAAATACATGACATTCTGGTTACTTCAATTCGAAGAGGTCAGTCTTTCCTTGTTCTATGTAGAATGCAATGTTCATTTCATGGAGCGTAACATTTATGCGTGCATATATATATATATATCTCTCCTGTTCTCCTTTCGTGGGAGTTGATATAATATCTTGTCCTCGTACCTCTCTTAACATAATTTTTTTCGTATTTGCAGCTACTTCTGCAACTGCCTGCAATTCTCTTCTTTCAAACAATATTAGATTCTCTAAAAGTATGCCACTTTGATTCCAAATTGCGATATTCCAAAAAGATTGCAAGCTATTCGAATCTTACGAAACCGATTTTCATTTGTTAAAATGATATCATTCACCTCAATTTTATCATTGTCTGGATTATCCAGCACCAATCTCTCTTCTTAAACCGTAGGGTCTTGCTCATAGATCTGCTGATATTCAATCGTTTCCCTTTGTTGTTCCTCTTCGTGTTCTGCAGCTGGAATTCTGAATTCTGGAAATCTTTCTCGCGATCCTTCTAATTCTTTCAGTGGCTCCAAGACTTCAAATCCAAGATCTTCTAGCCTATGTTTACCTCTCAACAAAACTATCAATATTAAGGTTCCCTCTCTCAAAATGTATATTCTTTCTTCCTGTTCTATCATTATGTTTAAAGGCATTACCATCTCAATAAATTTCCATTTGTCGTATTCTTTTACGAAGATAATCCTATTCTAGGCTATTTCCTGATCATTTCCACTCACACCAAGAGATATCTGATGATTCGTGGACAAATAAACCCCAATTCATTTATTTCCATATTTCTTCCACCCTGCCTATGACTTCATTATCTCCTCAAATTCATTTCCCAATTTCACTTCCATTGAATCTAGAGCTCTCACGAAACATGATGAAATATGGTAATACTTCCGCTTTGCAGCTCTCCGTCTGCACAATCAGGCTTTTGCGCTATATCTCCAAGGGAATCTTGATCTGTGATTCGAAGCACAGAGTCTTCTCCTGGCCATCTATCCCCCATACAATTTCCAATATTCTCCCGAACGACAAAATAGGTTGCCGAATTTCGTCTGCAAAATGGACCCTGTTATGCAATTGTACTTCACGGCCTTTTTTTAATTGCATGATGAAGCACACATCTCAATCCTGTCATTTCAATTGTCGTTCCTTGAACATCATGAAGATGATATGGATTCTCCTGACATTGTTGTTTCATTTCCATGAATATTTCATTCGATAAAATTGTTGCCAAAATCCAACATTACTAGAAATAAATGTTCTTCTTTCCTCAGGTAATCAATGTAATTTGTATTGCATTAATAGACAATATTCATTCGTTTCTCTTGCATCATCCTCTTCCATGAAGAAAAATTGTGTTGTCCTAATCACGCCATTGATTTCGACGAATTCTCTCAAACCGACCACAAAAGGATCCAGCGATGTTTGCGAAATTCTCTCCAAAGAAATTTGAAAAATTTTCTTAATATTGGTTCTATGCGCATTCGTGCTTGATAAAATTATTGCATTGGCATCAGCCTTTGTCGCATTGCTAGTTCCACCTCCGATTGACGATGTAGAAGAATATTAATTCTATAATGTCTATCGAATTTTCCAGCAATCTTTAGCCATATGACCTTATTTGCTACCGGTAAAGGCGGCAGGGCCGCCACAGATAAAGGTGCAGGGCCGCCGTTGATGGAGATCACAATGTTCTCCTAAGAGTGCCCGCGGCAAAACCGAGGGTCGGAGCGGCGCGTGGCACGGGTGCGCGCGCGAGGGGACTAACCAGTTTTCGAGCCGATAACACTTTAATCCAAAAACCTTTTTTCTTTTAGGACCATGGATACATATAGGCGCTATAACGCCTACTATCGGCGCACTACTATACCGCGCTCGACCTAAATAAGCTAAAACTACATGTAAAAGCGGCGAGCACCGCCGGAGGATCTAACCAATTCGTTAGAACTACTGGCGAAGCGGCGGCGCCGGCTCCACCCTATTAATAAAAAAAAATATTTAAATAAATATTAAATTTATCGAAAAAATATATAATAAAATACGGTGAAATATACAATTAATATCTATAAATATCGATAGTATTCAAAATAAAAAATATCAAAAATAAAATGAAATATTAAAAGAATAAGAAAATAAAAGCAAAATATATTATATGCGAAATATTCATTATAATAATAAAAAAATATATTTATTTTTTTTATAATATCTATCAAATAAATAAAAAGCAATCAAATATAATATTAAAATTATTCTATTGTTAAATTAAATATTAAATTATATTATTCAATATAATTAAATATCAATTAAATATAAATCCAATAAATTTTTCAATAACATATATAATTTATTTATCTTTTTTTTTCATTTCCCATCAATAAATTGTAATAATTCGATAAATTATTTCTTAATTATATTTTAATATTCATTATATTCGAAACTAATCGAATAATTATGTAAATTATGTAAAATTAATCTATATCGATAATTCTTCCTCCCTCTTTTAATTCCTCGTATCAATCCCTAATATCGCACCAATCCCCACCCTTCCAATATTACTTTTACATACGAAAATCCATATTTCGATCCTAAATATTCCTTAACATTATATAAATATAAAATCAAATAGATTTCCAATATCGATATATTTAAAAAGAAATATATATAATAAATTGTTATATATATATATATTAATATATTAATTAGATATATATATATATATAGATTTAAATATGTTTTTAAGATTTGTATTAGGATCGGAAAGCCGGAATTCCTTCTGATTGGCTACAGGCGTAAATGTGGTCGAGCATCTTCCCCTCATCGTTCTTAAGAACCCAGCGGTCATCCATTTGCCTTGGATCTGGACCAAGCATGCCACAATTGACAGTAAGTCAACCAGTCGTCTTCCCATTGGATTTGTGAGTCATCAATTTGATGGCGTTCTATTTGTACCCGATGGGTCCAAACAGTTTTCTGCGATGATCAAGGCATGCAAAATAAGCAAGAGAAGATTGGATCAAATAATGTCCTGGAAAAGGCCGAAGACCGTCACAACAGTTACCAGTATGTCGAGATGACACCGGTGACATCGATTGGAGGAACCTCACAGGATGTCCAAGAAATACAAACCGCAGGAGACCAGAAAAAAGATTGCAAACCATGGCATTCCCTGGCTGTGGGGATGGGGATTGGTGAGTTCATATGCCCGAAGTGCTTCTCCGTTTCGCTTGGATTCTGCTATCTAGCTATATATTCTATAGGTAGATGCTATAAATCCATATCAATTCTGTAAGCAAAAGCAAACATTCTGCAAGAGCCTACGGAGGAAGAAGAGGACAGTCCGCATCTAAAATTCCGTGACATCCAAAAGACCTCCAATATCGTCTATTTATAGATGTTCAATGATGTTCATATCCGTTTCTCATCTCCCGTGTTGCCCCCAAAACAGACCACTCCCTCCTCGATCCTCGAGATCGATGTTGAAGAAAACCGCCGGGCGACTGCAGCGTGTACTTTCCGAACTTCTGTAGGTCGACCACACTGCCCTCAAAATACTTCACCTCAGCGGCTCAGCATCCACGAAAACCTCCATCACCCGCCCCACCCCTCCAAACCGGCCGAACGGCCGAAAAACCTCCAGCTGCTGCGTCCTGGGGGATTCCGATTTCGGGTCCATCCGGATCACGCAACCGGTGGATCCTGCAGCAAGAAAAAGCACCCAGCAAAAGACCAGACGTGTCCATCCTGGAATGTCCCATCTATGAATGTCCCATCTATTGAATGGTCGCATCTGTACTTGGGTTAAACATGGTTAAACATAGTTCAGCATTCTGCGACTTGGCTTGGCCGCTTGGCTCCCCTGAAATGAATGTCGCTCAATTCTGGATTGGAAGTCTTGACTTTGCAGGCCAAATCTTGTAGATTCTTCTCTCAGTTTCTCCAGCCGTTTCCTCTATGCATCGCCCCTCCCATCCAATCGCCCACGCTCCCATGTCTTCTTGCGCTCGCATGCGCTCGCCGGACGAGGTGCTATCGTCTCCTTACCCCGCCAGTTCTTCTTGATTGATGGTGTCAGCGCAGTACCCCTCGTCAGCCAACTAGGCTCATTCCCTCAGAAAGAGGGAGGCCGGAGGAAGGGCATGTTGTTTCGATTTGGGGCCTTAAAAGAGGTCGGTGCGATCATTTTGAGGGCCCATGATTCCCAACAGGCTCACACAAAGGCTAGCACCACTTGCTTTTCGTTTCCCTTGGACACAAATTCAAACCCCTTTTTCTACTTTTGGCGTCCATGTTTCTCTTTGTGCAACCAATCTCCCTCCCCAAAAAAGCTCATCCGATCCAACGACTGGGTAGGTGAAACATTCGTAGCGCATCTGCCAGGTACGGATTCCTAGGTGCAGTATGCCTCCACCGTCCGTGAAAGTGTTCAGACGGACCAATCTCTGAGCTGAAATTCTCTTCCAAAATATGTTTGAAGGTGAATCACATCATATCACATCAGCTTGCTTCAAACAAATCGCGGCACACATAGGGGCATCACTAAACTCGCCCCCCGACCCCGGCCTTTGCCACCATCGCAGCAGTCCTTGCACATGCCTCCGCAGGAGGGGCTGGTGCCCATCAACTCCGAAAAACGGCAGATCCAACGAATCCGATGAAACACCCGACAGGTGAACACCACGTGTTTTGAGGCCCACACTGGGCGACATATGTGACATAGAGATACAAAGAGAAAGGAACGCATAGAACGCTAGCGCTCCAGGACCAAACCCCGGTTTTGTTCCCCAGCTTTGCAGCCCCCACTTTCGTGCTTTGACTGCGCTTCTTTCCTTCCTTCCAGACGCCAGGTCGAGTCCACAGGCGCGGAAAGAGAGAAAGAGTGTAGCTGAGCCCCTCCTGTAGGGATCTGGCGATCCAGATGAAGAAACATACTGTTACTATGTCAATCTATGTCACTATGTCTGTGTTCTTTTGGGCCGTCCCAACAGGATGAAGAACTTGACTTCACGACCAAGCCGGGCCTGCATCGAAATGAACTTCAATTACAGAGGAGTTCAACGGAGTAGAACTGGAGAGTTCTTGCTGTTCTTGCCCTGATCGCCCTGATCTCACTCAGGGTCGAAGACCTCCATCTTCCGGATTAGGGAAGTTCCAAAGGGTTTCTTCTACCATCCCTAGAAATCCAAAAGGCCACACTTGGCACCGAAGTACAGGTGCCATGTCCTGAAATGCCGTCTTCACAATGTGTTTGAATGGTCTTGGACTCTCACGGCCAGCTGTTGGATCTCTTTTTAATTTGTTTTTTTATGTACTTTGATTTACTTCTGCATTCACCGAGCGGCTTCACGCTTCGGAACACCCGACCACGGCCGGTGCCTTGGCAATGAGATTTGGAATACCAGAAGTCAATGACCTCATTCTTCTCGTTGTATTTCCTCAGTGGCGTCATTTCGCGGCTCAACCCTTGTCATCTTGGCTTTGAGAACAGTTTGGGCCCTGGACCACTGGAAAAGCTGTAGGAAAATGACATGGGTCAGAAATCATCACCAAGGTCAGAAAAAGTCGACAGGGTCTGGAGTTTAATTGCACATGGTTTAAATCTGCACGCATGTTGACTGTTGATTCATCAAACCCCTAACTTGAACAGAATGGTTTGTTGCATCAGTTTGCATCTCCATATTGGGAGGGGTAGTTTTCATCGGTTGTCTGATGTGTTCATCTGATTCAACCGTCCACATTCGGTATTTTACTATTTGGATGTGTATGGGTTTTTCATAGGTATTTTTCATGAGTCGTTTTCTGCTTTTGCTTGCAATCTGTTCCTTCCAAGTACCGAGCAGCCATGCGCCAATCTGACCATAACCCTTGAACATGGGTCCATAGGCATAGGCCAAGACGTGCTTCCCATCGGCTTCTCCTGAGGGAATTTGTTCATTCCAGTGGAAGAAATGAACGGCTCACCTCAAGAGGGATGAGGATCTGTTTCACTAGACATCGTAGCATATATTAGCATGAGATGGAATGCTCAAGGTCGTTCGTTCGCCGGGGAGAACGACTGGTGGGTCTCGCTCGATCCCCCTCGAGTGGGCCAAATAGAAAAGTCATAGAAAGTGTGCACCATGGCTTCCTGTAGAATGAATTTTCCCTTAAATCTATTCTTTTGAACAGTCCGACCGTCCGGGTGTTCACCTAGGCATCTCTACACCTCTCAAACCGTGGGCCAAATCCTCCTCCCCTCTGGTGACACATCGACCCCCAAATCCTCCTCACCTCACCTCCACCTCCGACCCCTCGGACGGCACCAAGCCTTTGGGTGCCACCCAGTTGGAATCCGTCAACTTCTCCATGCCCTTGTAGCCCTGCTCACTGTCCACCTACAACGTCGGTCCCGACATGTCGGGGGGAATTCGGAGACGACTCGTGGGGGCGTGACTCACGTGACCGTCGGGGTGTTCATGTTTTGGGTGGGGATATCCGGATAGCCCATCTGCCACCAAACAGAGGGGGTCGATGAAAGTAGAGAAAAACATCCAAAAGAATGCTAAGAATGCTGATGCCTAGCCCAAGTTGTGACGTGCTGGGAAAACTGAGAATGTCTTCCCCGCGCCTCGGTTGGATCTACAAGTTCACACTTTGTCTGAAAGGCCAGCTGGTCTAGCGTATACTGCAAACGCCCTGCAAGGGCCAGGTTCACCAACAGTAGCACGGTGAGCGCCAACATGGCGAACAATGGCTTTCTCAAACAAGAGGACGGAACTGAACGCTATTGAGCCGAGAGTGTTTAGCAGACAGATCCACAGCTACAAGGTGTGAAGGCAGCATTCTGCATTGTATCCAGGTCTGTTCACGTCCACTCCGAAGTTCTTGGACCCTACAGGACCGCCCAGGGCGAGAAAACACATCCAAACTCTCCAAACGCGCCGACTCTTTGAGTGACTAGTTACTAGTTGTACCATCTGGCGGATTTCAGCCACTTCTCTTGCACTGGGCAATCCACGTTCCCAAACGGTGCTTCCGCGTGGATCTGGTGCCATACGTTTGGTGCAAAGCCGCGATCGGACCGGTACGCTGCTGCCACAGCATTCGAAGGGCACCCTTCGCTCGCGGAACGACCTGTGGGGCTGTCATGGGCTGTCATGGGCTGTTCATGGCAGGCTCTACATTCCCTATCTTCCCATCTGATCCCATCTTCGGTTCAGGGATGTTTCAAGGGACGTAACAACGAAACCACAACAGTTTACACGATCAAGTAAGCAGGAGGAAGACTTGAGCGGAAGTTGAAACTGCTCCTCCGCCCTGGCACCAGGAACTATTTTTCACCCGATCTTGGAGCTGGTGGCACGCCAGCGCAAGGCCCGCGCGGGTTCACCGCCGACCTAGGAGGATAGACATTCCGAAGTGAAAGTTCAGTGGTTCTAGGTTGGAGGCCATCGCTAGTAGGTGGAGGCCATCGCTATTAGGTTGGAGTCCAAATGAAAGACATCCTCGCTCCTTGAAGGAAACTTGAGTGGTTACACACTGCCCACCCTTGTGTCTATTCCTGAACGTCTGGGAAGATTGAAGTCTTCAAATGAGGCGTTGGTCGAAAACCGTCTGGGTCACGTTTTTCCCAGGTGTCTTGCAGTCTTGTCCGGATGAGTCGCAGTGCGAATGAGGGACCCGTGTGAAAGAAAATGGGTCACCCACACAGAACCTATACACTCTGACGAACACATCACATAGAAGTGGATGCCATGGCCCCTGTGAAGACCATTCTATCCTCTACAAACAGGTGGTTGTCCATTTCCATGTTAGTGAGTCGGAGTTTATCCAAAATGGATTCAGTACATCCAAAAGAAAGCCCTTCATATCCACCCTTGAAAGGGCCCGGAGATGAGTCGCGTGAATTCGTGGGGTATGTTTAAGTCATGTCCTAACTGCGTGTGGGTCAGAACTGAATTGGTCTGAATTCTTCGAACCTCGTGCAGATTCCCCCATTCTGGATCTGATAGGTCTTTTTCACCTTTCAAAGACCATCATCCGTCCATGGTACTTTATTTTCTTTGTACAACCCACAATTCATCAAAAATCGTTGTTGCACAAAGGAGATCAAGAAAGCAGGGGTTCCCCGTCAAACTAGAGTGGCTCGCGTCACCAAGAAGACAGCGAGAAAATGCGAGAAATCAGCCCTACTTTGGTTCAACCGCGTCCATCGACATCTGTGGAAGAAACCCACGCCGTGGTCGTGCCGATCCTCCCGCCTTGCCAATCTTCCGGTCTCTGGGGTAAGCCTCGTGGCATGCGCCACACGAACCAAGACGTGGAGGCAAAGCACCGTGCGACCCGGAATCACACCGAAGCGACCTCCGAAAGAGCTCACGTTGGTCTATTCTCATTGGCCCATCCCGAGGGATGGGGGCCCGCCCGGCGGTGAAGTGATTTTTGCCACACGTGGCCAGGGTTCCAGGGACCCGCAAAATGGTCCAAGCCTATCAAGGTTTTGAACAGAACTGCTTTGCAAATCAACCACTGAAACAACCGGACGACGCCCACCAGCCTCCTACCAGCTGGCCCTTTCCTTCGCTCCACTTGCATCACTTGCCCAGCCTCATAGACCTGGCCTTTCTCGCGGTCCAGGACGATCTCCACTCGGTCCTGGCACCCGCGGCGTGTGGGACTGGTGGAGCCGACGACTGAGCCGCGGGCTGTGGAGTGGAAGCCTTGGACTCTTGGAGTGGTTATAGACACTCAGCCTGGAACGCATGAGGCAACGTGGGCATGGCCGCCGATTTCGGAGGACCTTCTTCTGAAAACCAAACAGGTGGTGCCATCCACTTCCATGCCATGGACATGATGGTTTTTTTGGGGCAGCATGGCCACCTCCACTTCCATGTTGCACATGTCATGTGTTCGTCGGAGACACGAGGCTCTTGCTGGACAGGTCCCATGTAGCAAGATCCTATGCCAGTGGGTATACCATGGTATGCCCCAACGGCAAAACAGGGATCTGGACATGCTTACATCAGAGTGTAGATCTCTAAGCTTTGAGACCCACGCAGATCCCACCACTTGTCCAGCACATTGACTAAACCTGCGTGGCTGGACACACCCCGGCCACAAGGGCGGAAGTAAAGAGAGGTTGGGCTCGTCGCAAGCTGCACTTGAGCATCCAGAATCCAGTGTGGTTGCTTTAGGTGCTTTGGGAGATATATTGCGAGTGGATCTTAATCAGCGAAGTTTGAAGCTATCACTGACGGTCCATAAGCGGCGTAGCGTCGGAACGGAAACCGCACCTTTTCTAGTCGCTTGATCCTTGAGCCAAAGTACATATGGTACATATATATGTACAAGTTGCACTGTACGTGTCGCTGCACTTCCATTCGCACCCCCCATGTGAACGGCAACAATATGTTCCGATCACACACGAAAATTTAGGGATGTAAGTGCTACAAAAGAAATTGTATGATTTGCCGCGAGACTCATATGAGGCTCATACTACGAAACATGCTGGACTAAAGCGGACTTTTACATATAAAGTGTGCAACTATGGCTCAGAACCTATGAAAATCGAATTGAACAAGTGAGACAGTCACGAGGCCTCGCTCAGTATCCACTCAAAAGAGCATCGCTTTGATGTAGATCCGAACTGGTGACTTCCACGTAGATGTCACATCGGCAACTGACTTCACACTTCTCAAAAGATGTAGGTTTTGATTTGGATACACTTACAGAACGGCAAGTCGGAGAGACAGTCGGTGACTGTCTGCCTTCCATTATGCTCATGGTATCAAATCGTCAATCCGATGATTTGCAATGATACACTTACAGCGTTTCAGGTCAGATAGACATCCGGTGAATGACTTCCTCCCTGGTTTGCATGGTATCCTCATAGTCGTTCAAAGAAATCACCACTGGCGATAACCTCTCCATCCACGATGATCCCAGCTGCCCTGAGCATCCCGCCGATCATCTTCTCCCTTCTTGGACTTTCCCTTGGACTTGCTCTTTCCCTTCCCCTTTTCAGAAGGTTGAGGTACTTCGCGACGTTCTTGCGTTAGCGCCGGCCTCCAAGATGTTCCAGATTGGCCTCCTCCTTTGGAATGTCCTCGGGATGATGAAGAAGTTGTACCTTCTGCTGCATGTGCGTTGGCGGCAAGATCTTCCTGCAAAGCTTGCTCAAACACATCGGTAGCACTGGATGGTGATTTATCAAGTGGTCTGGCTTTTGGAGCAGCCTTCGCCTTGTTCTCCTCTGCTGATGAGGGCCCGAAACTCTTAGGTGCTGTTGAAGGTTTTGGCTCCTCACTTGGTGCTGACGACGGCTTGGCCTCGGTTCTGGGTGTAGATGCTGGCTTTGCCTCAGCTCTTGACGAAGATGCTGCTTTCGCTTCAGACTTAGTCGTTGATGTTGACTTAGCTGTCGCCTTGGCTGCCTGCTTCTTCTTGCCCTGAATCTCCTTGGCCCTATCTCCAAAGCCTAGACGATTGGTAAGAGCTTGAACATGCTTATGTTCTACCACGCTCATCCATCTCTCTGTATGTCCAACGTTGGGGTTTCTGGCCATTGACTCTATGACTTCCTGAGCTTGTGGGGGCAACCTGATCTCATGTTGATCAATGATCAACAGAATAGACTTCTCCCACTTGCTCTTCATTCTCGAGTACATGATGTCCAGAGGATCGATCACCTTGTGGTAGGGTGATGTAACGTCGGTTCTAAAGTAAGAATATGTCCGACACCCATAAATCGCATGGATGCACTTCTGTACCAATTCAGTCATTGCGCTGGCTTTCTTCGCTTTCAACTCCTCAAGCTGGGCATCAGTCAAGTCGGTGGAGTGTTCGAAGTTGCCATATTCCTTCTTGAAGGATTGCGGAGTATGACCAAATGATAGGATCACGAGTGCCACCTTGCAAATGAATTGCTCTCCTCTGAATCGGTGCCAGGCCTCCTCAGTCGTAATATTGTTGTCGTTGGCAAAGATTAACATCATGTCATCTGTTGGATCCAATGGTCTCCCATCGTCATCGATTTCAGTGGAATCCCCTGTACCGAACTTGCTTATCACATCCAGTCGCCGCCTTTTCCAATTTGCTTTGAAGTCGGTAAGGCTGGTGCAATAGTAGCTCTTGTACATCAGGGAGATCATGTTCAGCACACATTTGACCACATACCTATCCATCAAACCCGATGCATTCATGGAGACGTCCTGACAGTAGGCTCTCTCTTGATGCGCATAGATTCGAGGTTCCGGTACTCGACAATAGATGGGGAGATCTTCGTTGTCTCTTCCTTCTTCGGGATTGAACTCGGTCGCTCCATGCTGTGCATAGTATCCCGGTTCATCACGATCTGTCGGTCGATTCGCCTCCGGATGTAAGTCGTCGGTGACGTCTTGATCCTCGGGTTCACCATCTTGACGTTTCTTCCCCTCATATTGTTGTGTGCTCCTCTGGATCTCGATGATCACGTTTCGTTCGTCTTCATCTTCTAGATCAGAATCACGACCGTAGTCGATCTCGTCCTCATTGAAAGATGGGGTCTCGACATTGTCACTCTTGAAGTTTTCTGCACCATCAGACGGTTTGGAAGGATCTAGATTGTCCATGTCCTCGTCGTCGTCAGCTGCTTCAGTTTGAGCGATGTCTTCTTCCCAAGCCTTTCTGATCTCGTCCATAGTGGCCTGGTCCAATATATCTTGATCATCATCTTCAGGCTCCTTCTTTTCCTTCTTTTCCTCT